AAGAAAATTGAAGTTCCAAGAGATTGGTGCCATATTAGAACATGCCACCAACGCAATTAAAACATTCTGAGAACAGACCAATCCGTAAAGCAGTGGAAAAACTATATCGAAAGAGGTAACCCTCATCCAAACATCCTTCCAAAACCGGATACTAACCCCATTAACCACTTTCGAAGACAGAAATGAAGACACAAGTGGATACAAGCCAGATATGGACTTCCAAGGAGACCGACAACTGCCTCTACTAACCACATTCGAATCTCTACCATTGGCCTGAGCTCCATACTTGCTTTTAATAATGGAACACCATAACAAGTCGCTTTCAACAGGAAATCTCCACAACCATTTGCTCAAAAGTGTAATGTTCCTAGCAACAATATTTGCGAGATCCCCTATCTCCCTAGGGAGAGAAATAACCTCCCACTTAACTAAGTGATCCCTTCTAACCTCATCACACCCTTCCAAAAGAAAGTCTCACATCAATTTCTCAATTTTTTTACCCTCATCACACCCTTCCCAAAGAAAGTCTTGCATCAATTTCTCATTTCTATATTTGACATGTATCAGATACATATGCACTCATTTTTTTGAGTATTTGTACTTCATTGTGTATAGAGAGGAGAATGGAAAAAAAAAGATGGGAGAGGAAAGAAGAAGAAAAGAAGGAAAGATAGAAACTCGGTGTCTCAAAGTCTCAAATATTTCAATTACTAAAGAAAGGACTTTTTCCGTGCACAACCTATATATAAGTACTCAATATCAAATAAAGAAATAGAGAAACTAGAAAGAAATCTAACAAGGAAACTTAAAAAAATAAAAAAAGAAACAGAATCTTATTATAATTAACCTTCCTAAACTTTATTTTGTTGTGTAAAGTATGCCTCTCTACTTAAAATGATGAGTTTGATCCTCTTGACACCACACTAGGTCAACTAGGCCGAGTGACCCTTTGCTCGAGTTCTTCCCACTTTATCTCCATGGTGCACTCGAACCTCCTCTACTTAGCCAATAGAGAGCACCTCCCTAGAGCACGCCTCTTAGCTTATGATAACACAATGGGGCTCCCATTGGCTCTACCGAGTGGCTCTCCACTCTAGCACATCCTCGACTTGTGACAACACACTCCCACCCTAGTGTGTTTTTCTTATTCCTTGTCCATTTACCTCCAATGGAACGCTAATGCTCACATGATAGCTTAGGTTGGGAGAGGGGCCTAAGATCTCTACGGGGTTAGAACCATCGGAATGTGGTGCTTGAGCACTATCTTGTGGTCAGTGCAGATGTGGCTTGAACCTCTCGGTGGCTGTAGCTGAGAGTTGTTGAGGCACTCATTGTCCTATCCCTCTCCTGAAGAGACTTGCACCTTGATGGTCTTAAATAAATCTCCACATGAAGACATCATTAGATGTTTAACTTTTTTATTACTAGAACTAATTCCACCTACAAGTTCAATACTCTGTTCATTAAGTCTCGTGTACAATATGCTATTGTATAGCTATGGAGTAGACATTTCCTAGGTAAAGGCTATGCAAATCTATTAGGAAAGGAATAAAAAAAGATTAAAACCTATCAAATCTTGGGTCATTGAGGTTTTATAAATTTTGGGTCATCTACGGTCTTGTGCGGAGACTTGGCCCATAAGACTACCCTATATCCAATACTAGTACCATGTTAGATGACCCCAGTATCCCTGTCATCATGTTGTTAGCTTGTTGTATGTTTTTGGACCTATTTACTATCGGCTTAAGCTTTTGTTACAATTGGTGACCTAATATGGTATTAGAGCTCTTGTTCTAAGAGGCCTTAGGTTTGGTCTTGTCTTTGTCACCTATGCTAGGTGGACTCAGGTACTGATGTTAGGTGTGGGTGTGTATTCAAGGGTCGGACCCATCAAATTTCAAAATGAAGGATACATGAACTCAACTATGAAATATCAAAAAACTTGATGTGGTTTTATGGATACAACAAAAGTTAGATATGACAAAAAAAATCTATATTACAAGAGGAGTATGTATGCTTTAAAGTGCCATTTTAAGCATCCAAATCACGTCATTAGAGGTATAAAAATATAGAATTTTGATATTCAAATATCGGAAGTTTAAATTTACTAACAATTCCTTGTTGAATGAACTCTTTTGAATGTGGGAATTCGTGAACTGCCGATAGCACATATCAATTAAGGTTATCCTCCTACTTATCAATTGATTTTTATTTTTTTAAAATTTTTTTTAAAATTTTTTTTCTAGTGGATATGAAAAGGGCAATCCCAGTGCATGAGGCTCCCTCCACAATGGGGTCTAAGAGGGTCAAATATACACAACCCTTACAGTTACCCCCGTGTGCAAAGAGGTTATTTTTGTGGTTTGGCCCCAATAATTTTTTTCCCTTCTCTAAGATCACACAAATTTTCCCATACACATGGATAAAACTTGACATGTGAGTATATGTAAGTAAATGCATGGCGGCACAAATACAATAGATCCCATAAAGCCCATTTGATCTTTCTTATTTGAAGAAAAAGGCCCATTGATCATTACAAATGGATATTTGATAACAGAAAATTTCGGACAACAAACTATGCAGTGCCACATAGCAAAAGAAAGATAAGGAGAGACTAGTGAATTCAAGTAGATGTTCATTTCAATATTCAATTCAAACACGCATATTCAATACGTATACCAAAATTAGTGATATTTAAGTATTTGGGCTTGCTGCTAGGAGGTAATCCTAGGTCTAGATCTCTTTGGTCTTCATTGTTAGAAAAGATTGGAAAAAGATTAGAGGGGCGGAAGAAAGCTTTGTTGTCTAGTGCGGGTAGGTACACTCTTGTGCAATTTGTGTTAAGTAGTATCCCTATTTATTTATTTTTGTCTTTGTTCAAGATCCCGATTAGGATTGCAAGGAAGATTGAAACGTTAATGAGGGATTTTCTTTGGGAATGAAAGGAAGAAGGAAACAAAGATCATTTAGTGAATTGGAAGACTATTTCTCTTCCTAAGGGGACAAGAGGCTAGCTATAGGAAATGTTGTGGCTAGGAACATAGCCGTACTTGGTAAGTGGTTATGGATATTTCCTTTGAAAATAGATTCATTATGGTCTGCCATCATCAAAAGGAAGTACAAGGTTCAATCTAATGAGTGAGACTCATCTATGGTTAGTAAGGGTACCAATCATGCTCCACGGAAATCCATTTCTAAGTTCCTCCCTCGAACATCCATATTTTTTTTCTTTGAAAGTGGTTGATGGAGAGAATTCTCAATTTTGGGAGGACACTTGGGTGGGGGACTCTTCCTTTGATATGTCATTTCTATATCTTTATATGGTCACTTGGTCACATTTTGCATCCGTTGCTTTGGCTTCTCCTATTGTTGCTTGAATTTCTTGGAATTTAGACTTTTTTGGGTGTCTTAATGATGGGGAAAATTTGGAATGGGCACCTTTGTAGTCTTTGTTGACGGAGTTTCCCTATATCTGCATTCATGTGATAGGAGAGTATGATGTGGTCATCCCGTTCAAGTAAATCATTCTTTGATTTTATCATTGATGAGCCTAATGTTCTTTCTTTCCCGTTTTACAAAATAATTTGAAAAGCATAGGGGCCTTTGAAGGTGAAAATCTTTATATGGTCCTTGGTTCATGGAGGTTTATTGACGAATGACCTTTTTCAATCAAAAAGGCGTTATCCCTATCTTTGTCCTCAACGCATGCCCTAATGCCCCAATGCGCGCCCTGGGACATGATCCCTACACAATGCATTTCTCAAAACTTTGGGTGCATTATGTGTAGGAAGAGTGGGGAATCAGTGGATCAACTATTTTTGCATTGTTCTGTTGAATCGAATCTTTGGAATCAGCTTCTTGGTTTGACAGATTCTCATTGGGTGGCCCCAAGGGAATGTCCTAATTTGTTCTCAGTTGCGTTCCAAGGTTTTTGGTGGAACAAGAGAGCAAAAGTGCCACAAAGGTGTGTCATTCGTTTTTGCCATCTTTTGGGGTATTTATTTGGAAAGGAATGCAAGAATTTTTAGGACAAATTCGAGGTTGAGGTGTTATGGGACAAAATATGTCATTGGGTGTTGATTTGGGATTCTTCTTTGCCTCATTTTAAGGGAGGTCCTTTTCTTTTTCATTTCTAGAGATTGGAAAGTTGTTTGTGATGTATAGGGTTTTGATGTAATGGTCGTTGATTTTTAGAGCGAACTCCTTGTCCTCTTTTTGTTGCTTCTTCATCAATAAAATTTATTTCATTGCCGATAAAATATATATATATATATATATTGTGATATACTAGACATTTAAATCACATGGAAATATTAATGTGATAGAACTAGATTCTTGTTAATACTAGAGTCATGGCAATCCCCCCAATGTTTATACCTTATCAAGAGTGTTGTGGTAATGCTCTATTTGGTAGTTTGTTGGTAATGGGGTAAAAGCATTGAAACTGAAATTCAAAAAATCTCAATTCCGTAACGAACATGGGTGAATCCAGTTATCTATGTTTCTATTTTGACATCATTAAAGAGGCACTTATATATTTATGTATATATAAAACTTAAGTACCATCATAATTGTACATACCTTTCAATTATTGTTCTTTTTGGCCTTTTATCATTTTGACACCTTTTACTTGGACCAAATCACTGCTCACCGGTGCGTTAATTGGTCTATATTGCACATGGAAAATTAATAAATAATTCTTACTCATTTTAACCTCAGAGCCATTTTTTACTTTCCTCGAATGCATTCATTTCTTCTTCAATTTCTTCAATGTCCTACTTACCCATCCAAGATGCTCATCTAAGCTATGTTCATTTGTTCAGACATTTTCCTTAATTTCCCAGCATCCATAAAGTATGGTTGGTTTTATATCTATCATATGAAACCTTTTTTTCACATAGTATGTATTTTACTATCAAACTACACCTACAAGCACTTTCTCTGTATGATTTATTCCTCTTGTTCTATAGAAAACATCCATAATCTACCCTTTCTTACAGATAATCAACCTATGATGATGAAGATGGTTCTCTGTTAGGTATTTCCTTGACCATTAATTTTCACTATAAATTATGCCATTTGATTTACTAAAGTTACAATTTATGCTTTTTTTACAAGATGATCCCTGAGGACATAATGATTACAGACCCTAGTGACTTTCGGCTAATATAATATGCTAAGTGACTTTCGGTTAATATGCTAACATTAGCTTCCATTTTGTTTCTTTATATTTCTACCTTGGCATTGACCCATATGCTAATGTGGTCAACTAAAACTATTGCAAAATGAGATGTAATAAACTTAGTAAATCTATCCATAGAGAATGCAAGAAGACAAGAGGATTAGGTGTGATGTTGAGGCTTGTATTTATATATCATTGTTCGAAGTTCATTTTTAAGTTTGGGAACTATGGAAGGGTTTAATCTAAATGAGGTAGGGGCAGGTTTGGGATAGAAGAGAGTTGACAAACCCAACTCAGGTTTGCAAACCAAATTTACTGGAGTATTGTCCATGGGTTTTTGTATTAATCTGACACCAAAATCACAAGAAAAGATCATGTTTCCATAGTTGTGTCCAAGGGAACCTCCATGGACCATTACATTGTTGATAAGGTGTACATATGATTTATTTCTTTGAATTCCAGTAAATGGAATAGAATAAAGATGGGGTTCAATGTTGAGGTATCGATGATTTCAGCTAAAGAAGAGAAATATGTTCTGTTCATAAAATTATTGATCAAATTTCTGATAGAAATTTATAAAGTAATTAGTTATTAGATTCAATCTCCACAATCTCTTTGTGGTATGATGACCATAAAACGGTTCTGAAACAGGTTAATCATTGGTAAACATTCTAAACAATTCTCAGCAATATCTAAAAGAAATAGGTGGCGGTCTAAGTCTTGGGCAAGTTTGATTATTTTGAATTTAAACCAGGTCACCAAAGTGAACCGTTATGATGCAAAAATATGTTTATATTAGTAGGTTAATGTGTCGAGGTGTTTCTTTAGTTAGTTGGCTGTTTTCATCTCTTTGTGTTGGTTAAATTGTGGTATTGTAGAAGCTTTTTGGACTTGGACTTGTATGGAAAGAGACTGATCTGCATAGATAAGGAGTTTTTGCTGAAGAAATTTTTATTTGAGCTGAACCTCTACCCTAGCTATGTTTGAAGCATTTGAGGCTAGGGCTTTGACTACTTATCCCCACAGAGCCTTCTAATCCATCTACACTGTGTATTGAACTAGAGGATTTCCGCTGCTGATTTGTCTTGGTCTGGAATCTTCCAAAATTCAGGTACTTCACTTGAACCTAAAGGCCATACATGATTATTCATCCTTACATTTGTGTTAGCTGCTATTATATGCTGAAACGTATTGTTTTCCTCACTCATTGGAATTTATTAGCTTATTATTAATAGAACGTTCTTGTTAGCATTAAGTGGTGCATGAGCTAACTATTTTTATCAAATTAGTATCAGAGCAAGCTGGTTCTCTTTCATTTTTGTTTTTCTATATTTTAGGTAAGGTGTTTCAGTTGTGAAAATCCATAGCCGCAAGAAGTTTTTGTAGATAATGCGGTAATGGCGCTATTGAGGAAATTAGAAATTGGATGAGAAATGGAGCGTGAGTAATTTGTGGATTGGGTAGACAGAAATGGAAATTATTTTGATTTTTTAGTGAAAGATGTTCTCGAAGAGAAGAAAATGAGATTAAACTTGGGGACTAGCTTCTATTTGGTGGAAGATTTCCCATTTTCCTCGTCTTCTTATGTTGATTTTTTGGGGGAGTTGCATATCCCAGTAGATTTGTAGGTAGTTTAATTTCAGCTCTCTTTGGCCTTTTGTATACATTGTGAAAAAAAGGTTGCGCCCCTGCTGATGTTCTTCTATATAACATTTGCATATTAAAGAAAAAGGAAAAAGGTGACTTGTAGCATCTGATTTCGCTTTTATCAACGGCTTAGGTTTCGCTTTCAATATTCATGTAATAACCAGCATAAATTACATTAACACATTTCTTTATTTGTCTTTGTATCAATGCTATGATAATTAGCATCTGATGAGACCCACAGGATCACATCAACATAAGGGAAAAACCAAAATACCATATAATGTTTATACATATATACATATGTATATATGTTCATAAATCTATGTTTCTTTGCAATATGGCTAGTTAGTTATATGAACAAAAGAAATATAATACTTGAAACTGAGATAGATTGAAAAAACATTTAGGTATCGTTTGGTAATGTTTACTAATTGTTTTTATTTACAATATATATATATTAAACATGTTTATGTTTATTTTTGGTAAAAACAAAAAATATGTTTGGTATGCACGTGTCTTGTTTTGAAAATACGTAAGAGGGGGTGGCTAACCAAAAGTGGTTGCCGAAGGCAAAAAGTAGTTGTCAATTGCTGGAGGTGGGTGGCCAATGGTGGAATCTGGCAGAAGGTGGTGCAAGAGGGTTTCCAGGGAGATGTAGTAGTCGAAGGTGGTTGCCAGTGGTGGTTGTCAGTGACCAGGGGTGGTTTCCACGATGGGAGGTGGTTGCTGGCTGCCAAAGGTAGTTGTCGACTGCAGGAGGTGGTTGTCATCCACATGGGAACACTTGGTCCATACTCTCATCCTGTCAGAGATGTGTCTCACTCTTCTCTCATCTCTCATCCTTGACTCTCTCTCTCTCTCTCTCTCTCTGACCCTCACTGTGCATTACTCTCAGTATCTCACTCTTCATGTCTTTCACACTCTCTCTCAGACATCTTAATCTCGATGTCGCTAGCGATGCCATGCCCTGATTCTGGAGACCTGGATCCGTGAACAGGAACTAGGTTATGAAAGGACTGGTGACAAGTGATTAATATTTACAAGGTTCATTAAAATCAGATTAATAATTAAAGTGACTTCAAAGGTTAATAAAACTCGTTACTTCCAGTTATTGCTTGTGTACCGTACTATGGAATGGTCTGGTGACCTCACCCCCAACCTGTACAAGTATACATTCATACATTCTAAACAAGTCTCATTAAGGCGATAAAAGTAATTATACAAGCAACAATTATCTTAAGGCTTACAAACCAAGCCTTTCAATTACAATCACAAGAATTCTACAATTAAAATAAAAATCCAGGATCCACCCATAGTGTCTCCAAATCCTGCGGTAGGACATATGGCCGAAATCGCACTCGAAGTGAGTACTATTCGATGCCTTTCTACCCCTCCAAAATAAACATGACCAAAATAAATTACAAATGCAGGAGTTCACTCCTCAAAATTACAACAAAATATCAAAAGTACCACATTGGAATGACTCTTCAAATCCCAAACATAGCTTAATGCGGTTCCCTCAGCTATTTTCTTGAAAAGGAAGAGGTGAGCTAACAATGCAGTTTGTAGATCTATAGCAATGCTGTTTGATTCGTGAATATTCAATATGATAATCTACTGCTAATTCTTCTCCCGTTTCTAGTAAATTAAAATTTAATCTCACAATCTACTAATGGAAAAATTAGAAAAACAATAAACCGTAGAAGTACTTGTCACAATATACCATAGTATCTATGTATTATTCAAGAGAAATTGTTATCACAATGTTACTTTATTGTTCATTCTTTGCTTCTGCTCAACTCATAATCCTTGAAACTGAGGACAAGCTATGCTGGAAACTCCATTCATCAGGTGACTTTGAGGTTCACTCTCTCTATAACAAATTTTCAATCTCACTTGGTGAAAAAAATCAAATCATTAGATTTGATATGGAATATGTGCCCCCTCCTAGAATCCAATTTCTTGGGATGGCTGTTATGACATGGTCATATTAAAACTTTGGATATGTTATCAAAGTTTATTGCCTTTGACCCTAGCATGTTCAGAGTTTGCATCTTTTCTAACTCTGAACCTCAATCAGTGGAGCATCTTTTCCTTCTTTGCCCCTTTTCTTGGAGGCTTTGGTGTAAGTGCTTGGTTTGGTGGAATATGCAGTGGGTACCCCCAAAGAATTGTGATTGAGGTCGGGGATAAACTCGAAATTACTTCAAACTTAGTAGTTGGATTGGACACTTGGTGATAACGCTCATGTGATTTTTGTTTTTACTGTTGCTTGTTTTGGTACATTCCATTGATCAAGTAGCAATCAAATTTGGGTTTAACTAAAATTTGCTATTTAGTAACTTTTCTTCTTTCTTAGATATTTCATGTTCTACAAAAATTAGGATTATGCCATTATAAATAGACTTGTAAACTTCGATTAGAGGGAATTCAATCTTAATAATAATTTAGAGTTCTCATAATTCTTTGTGGATTCAAGTTTCTTTCTCGTGAATTTGACAGCTCTGTCTTCTAGAATGATGGATATTGTGCAATATTTCCTTGTGTTAGAATACATCTAATTAAGTGATGATCTCCCTTTTAACTTCTTATTTTTTTATTTGGAAATCTCGGCTAGAGTGTTTGATGCAGTTTTTGCTTACAGCTTATGAGGCAAAAATAACTTAAATAAGCCGAAAAAAGCTAATTATTGAAAGGTAAGGAAGGGGTGCTTTTAGGTTTTGCTTCTAATTATCAACTTTTAGCTTGCAATAAGCTTCACCAAACAGACCTGTCATAGTTCTAGTTCACTTGACATGTATAGACTATTCGTTCTTAATGGTAAACTCGTTGGCAAATATTGCTGCATCACTATGGGTAGTATATCTTCTTCTTCTTTTTCTGAAAAATGTCAGACAAACTTCTCATGTAAAATCATATTAAGCTGCCCTTTTCAAATTTCTGTGATGGTTCTATTGTTATGTAGTGGTGAAGCAGTGAATTCATTCAGTGCTTCTGTAGTCACAGCTAGTGAAACTTCTCTGATGGAGGAGATCTTTCATGCTAGTTTTTCTTTTTTGAAATGTACCATGTCAAATGTAAATCAGTGGTGCTACAAATTCAAGCTTGATACAGCTGTTACTTGTAGCCATGTTTTGCAATTCTACTCATCGTATTTAGGTTTGCAAACTATGTAAATAAAATTTATCAAAATCTGTAGCCTGAATGGTAGGACTTTGTGTTGTATATTTATATGAAGTACAGAACAATAGGTTGATTTATTGCTTTTAAGTTTTGACCACCAAGGAGAAAATAATCCACAATTGAATATTCTGGAGTTTGAAGGCTATTCTTAAGGTTCTTAATTGTCCACAAACTTGATTGAATTTAAATAGAAATTAAGATGGCAGAATGAACATTAATTTCTATTTTATGTACATTTAGTCTAATGAGTGGATCTTATTGTTTGATTAATGCATATCTTTCTCTATCTACAGCCAATGAAAGAGACTAATTTAGTGCAGATGCAAGTGCTACCCTTTTCAGCTGGACTCAGTCCTTGGTTCAAGAATCAGTGTGTGCGCATCAAATCGGCACTCTCCTTAGAACAATCATCATCTACCATGGAATATTTAACACAGGTACTCGAAGTTTGGAGTCTTTTAGCACCAACATGTATGTGTATGTATGTATATATAATATGTACCAATGTGGTTCCTACAGAGAAAAACAAAGGAAAACTGAGAGAAATAAAGAAAAAGTGCAGGGATGTTTTCTCCCTTGGCAATTATGTTCCACTTATTTCAGGGAAACTTTTTATAGTATTTTTTTCTGCTAAAATAATCCACAATTGAATATTCTGTAGTTTGAAGGCTATTCTAAAGGTTCTTAATTGTCCACAAACTTGATTGGATTTAAATAGAAATTAAGATGGCAGAATCAACATTAATATCTATTTTATGTACATTTAGTCTAATGAGTGGATCTTATTGTTTGATCAATGCATATCTTTCTCTATCTACAGCCAATGAAAGAGCCTAATTTAGTGCAGATGCAGGTACTACCCTTTTCAGCTGGAATCTGTCCTTGGTTCAAGAATCAGTGTGTGCGCATCAAATCGGCACTCTCCTTAGAACAATCATCATCTACCATGGAATATTTAACAGAAGGTACTTGAAGTTTTGAGTCTTTTAGCAGCAACATGTATGTGTATTAATGTATATATAATATGCACCAGTGTGGTATTATTGATGAGGAAGGTGAAAACAAGTTTCCTACAGAGAAAAACAAAGGAAAACATAGAGAGAAATAAAGAAAGAGTGCAGGGGTGTTTTCTCCCTTGGCAATTATGCTTCACTTATTTCAAGGAAGCTTTTTATAGTATTTTTTTCTGCTAAAATGTCTGCTTGTAGCATATCGTGACATCAAATAAATATATTGGTTACTTGAAGAGGTGGCAAGTGAATGTGTTGAAGATGCCAATGATTAGAAGATATCATGGAAGATGATCCACACACATCAGGTAGAAGTACCAACCACAACGTTTAAAGTTTAGGGAGTGTTAGACAGGTAATTGCAGGTTTTGAAGAATAAACGAGCAATAAAAGTGAGCATTCAATGATGGAACTCAAAATGACCAACGGTTCCTAGTCATTCCAACTGTCCCTAAACAATCTGTCTTGGCAGGTTTGTTGGATATGAGATCTCGAGTAGTCCTAATTCTTACAGAGCAATTCAAGTCAATAAGGCAGGGTGTGCCATATATGTAAAGGCAAACATTTGTGATCTGTTTATCTTACTGGTCAATTGGAATAAGGCAGGGTGTGCCATATATGTAAAGGCAAACACTTGCGATCTGTTTATCCTACTGGTCAATTAGGAAAATATTTGGCTGCTTTAAGAAGCGACGAGCTGAGGACGCCACCACAACCAGCCTCTCCCTCGATAACCAACTTTATATGTGTTTATCTTAAAGTTTAGATGTCTACAGTGGCAGCCAATTTAGCCCATTGGAGAAGGCAACGGTATTTTTCTCTAAAGTTTTCAGAACCCTTGACCACTACGCCTCTGGTTGATGCGTGTTGATTGGCACTTATTTAAGTTAAAAGTCAATAATTTTGAGTAAAAACTAAAGGAGAAGGTTTTCCTCGAACTCGTAATATAGGAGCTCTTACATCCTAAGCAAGGTAACAACGTATGATTGGTCACTTATTATATAATTTACACAATTCAAAATTTCTCTAATTTTTGTTCAATTCTGCAATGGTTAAGGTTATCTCAAATATTAGGAAACATGTATTTAGGAATCTTAAATATTTTAGGTAATTATGTATTTTTTTCAATTAGATTTTTAAATATATTCTCTAACTTTCTAAAAAAGTTCTATTTTACTTGGATCTCTAAAAATACTTACATATTGATATTTGTTTCTACACGAGTGAAGTTAAAAAAAAAAATTCTATTGTCTCAATATTTGTATATTTTTAGTTTAAAAAACTTTACTCAAATTTGGAAAAAAATTATTTGATTTGAACCACTGCCATAGAAAAACTCAAATGTAAGCATAAACTTGAGTAAGAACTTTACTATGACAATGGTAAATTTGAGATTCATGAAATAATTTTAAAATTTTTGAGTAAGAAGTTGAGTCTCCCTTAATTTAGATAAACATCTTAATAAAATTCAATTTGATATAAGTTTAGGTCAAGAAGTGAATAATATTTTGAATATTTTTACCTGATTTTTTTTTATGGAACCTAAACTTAAATTTATTATGGGTTTGAATCAATGATTGAAGATACCTAATAAGATATGATGAAAATGAAAATGACTGAAAAGTAAACAAGCACAAGAAAAAGACAAAAAAAAACACCAAGTTTGTGTAGAGGATATTCACTAGTTTTTGTTTAGTGACCTAAGTATGATTAGTTTTTTTAAAAGTCAAAAATATTTGTTAGAAATTTTATTGCAGTAACAAATTTTTTTGAAACATTTTAGATTCTTAAAGATATGTTTCTTATAGCGTTATTAGGAAATTGAATAGATTTTAATTTATATAACAAGTGGCTAATAATTTTTTGTCACATCGTTTAGGATGTAGGAACTTCTACATAATGGGTTGGAGGAAAATTTTTTTCCAAAACTAAAAGCACATCTCTCCTGTTTCTCAGAAAATCAGTTTTCTTTTTTCTTTTTTCTTTTTTTCTTTTTTTTTTTTAATTTTTTTTTTATTTTGAGCACATTTTTTAAAAAGATTATGTAAGCTATTTTGAGACATAAATTGTAAGCAGAAATTGCAAACTTATATATAACAAACAATCGGATGGCATTTTACCAGCTAACTCACCGTTTAGCGATGTGTATGACATTAGTATGTCATGTTGTCAATTTGCATTCAACCTTAGAATTCTACATTATTTGACGTTGGTTGCCAGCCCACTATTTGTTATGTACAAGCTTACAACTTCTGCTTACAATTTGTGACTCAAAAATAACTTGCATAAACTAAAAAAAAAAAAAAGAAAGAAAATGATTATGTAGGAAACATGAGAGATGTGCTTTTAGTTTTTACTTAAAATTATCAACTTTTTAACTTAAAATAAGTGTCAATCAACACGCATCGGCCAGAAGCATCGAAAATTTTAGAGAAAAATGTTGTTGCCTTCTCCAATAGGTTAAATTGGTTGCCACTGTAGACATCTAGACTTTAAGATAAATACATATACAGTTGGTTATCGAGGGAGAGGTTGGTTGTGGTGGCACTCTCAGCTTGCTACCTCTCAAACAACCATTTTTTTTTTCCAATTGACTAGTAGGATGAACCGATCACAAGTGTTTGCCTTCACATATACGGCACACCCTGCCTTATTCACTTGAATTGTTCCGTAAGGACTACGCGAGATCTCAGATCCAACAAATTTGCCAAGACGGATTGTTTAGGGACGGTTGGAATGACTAGAGACCGTTGGTCGGTTTGAGTTCTGTCATTCAATGCTCACTTTAATTGCTTGTCTATTCTTTAAAACCTGCAATTACCTATCTAATCCCTCCTAAGATTCAAAAGCTGTGGATGGTACTTCTACATGATGTGTGTGGACCATCTTCCATGGTATCTTCTAATCATTGACATCTTCAACACATTCTCTTGCCACCTCTCCTCAAGTAACCAATATACATATTTGATGTCATAATATGCTACAAGAAAACCATTTTAGCAGAAAAAAATACTATAAAAAGTTTCCTTGAAATAAGTGGAGCCGAAGGAGAAAACACCCCTGCACTTTTTCCTTATTTCTCTCTTTGTTTTCCTTCTTTGTTCTTTTGGGTAGGAAACTTGTTTTTCACCTTCGTCACCAATCATTCCACACCGGTGCATGTTATATATACATACATACACGTACATGTGTGCATATATGTATCGATTTGGTCCTAAAAAGAACTCAAAATTTCGAGTACCTTGTGTTAAATATTCCATGGTAGATGATGATTGTTTGAGGGAGAGTGCTGATTTGATGTGCATACACTGATTTTTGAACCAAGGACTGATTCTAACTGAAAGGGTAAATTAGGCTCTTTCATTGGTCAGATACTGTTGCTTTATGTTGCATAAAGTTTTATCAGAACATAACCACTTCACACAGCCTTAAGAAGCTCAGTTGGGATTGGAGATCAGTGCCTCAGTAGCTCTTACAAAAACCCCTGTAACTATGTTTCTTCAAAAACGGATGTCGATACTGTGATGTTATGCTTAAGCGCAGTAATTGAGAACTGGATGGTGTCACAGGGATTTCAGAACTAAATCATTGAGTCAAAGATAGGTGAATCAGCAACTAACTAGATAAATCATCATTCAAATTCGGAACTCCTGGATGAGAGGCAGCTTGAGATGTCCGTAAGCTCTTGAACTACTTTTCTTTCAGTTTCAACAAGAGAATAGCTAAACTCATTTTTGTTGGCATTCCAAATCCCATCCACCCTATTTCCTTCCGTATCATCCAATGTACCAATGCTAGTGCTGCCAGAATTTGAAGTTTCAGTGTTTCTAATGTGATCTCTACAAGAAGGCCTTTATATTGGGTTGTCTTGCATTCTTCACTTCCGTTTTGTGCTTAGCATCCCATTTGCAATAGCTTCAACTACTTCGGTGTTAATGGCCGGTTTCTTGTGCTTTGCCTAATGGGATTCACAATTGGTGGCTCTTTTGCAGAATTGAGATCAATGGAATTACTCAAAATCGCAAGTTCGTCCACGAGCTCATGGTTACTAAAGGAAGAGCCTAACACATGTGCATTAGGGTTTTGCTAGCTGTCATCAACCTCCATCATATGGGATTCATCATTTTTGGAATCTAATGGGACTTGGGTTATGTTTAGGTCAATCACAGGCCGTGATTGAGTTTTCTCACTTTTCAAGTCAGACATTTTCATAACATAACTATTCTCATGGAGAATGCCTTCACTGCTCTCCTTTTTCGAACTTCCTTTTGCTGAAGACTTACTCGATAAAGGACCAACTTCGGAAACATCTGGTAAATTTGACATGAAATTAGGATCCACTTCTTTTACTCCAGAGCCTACCATAAACTTTGCCAAGCTGCAGATTGTGTCATCCTTCTCACAAGAAGCCAATGTCCGCCGTTTCATGACAGGGAGCAAAAGACTTGATTAGCCAAGTCCCACTGTCTGGCTGAATTGGTTCTTGATGATCCTTGACTGCTCATTTGATAAACCAGTCTGTTGATCCTGGTCGTTTTCCACCAATTTTTTTGCAACATCTGAGCCATTGATTGGCATCCTTTGGTTTGAATGGCTATTATCAGCCATACCCTTAGCATGATTGTAAGATCTAATTTTCTTCTGATCCTTCAGTAACATATCAGAAGACTCTGGCTCATCCACTGAATCCCTGGAGGATTCACTATCTGTTTCTGTCAAATAAATACTCAAGCTAGAAGTTTTTTGAATATCAGCATGTAAACTTCTCACTTCTGTCACCTTGCGGGATTTTGTTACATAGACCAAACTTGTATCCACAATGGTAAACTTCACAAGAGTTGGGCTGAATGTTGAAACACGGGGTTTAAGGTAACAATGATGTTGATGATCAGTTGGATCACTGTGGTTCAATGTGGGTTCTGGTTCTGGATCTCTTTCATGTGCTTCCTTGCTGTTGCTGACGACACTAAGTGCTTCAGCCTCGAGCTTAGTGAGTTTTGGTTTGGATGCAACTCTACTCAAAACATCACTAACAGAATCAAAGTAGTTGTCTCCTTTTACAAGTTTCTTTTTTGAGAACGACTGAACACCAGGCACAAGAAAAACCAGCTTATGTTTGGCCTTACTAAAGATTAATATGCAGTTCTACAATGCAACCACTAATTAGTTTTGGTAATATGTGGCCCAACATAGGACCACAAAAGCAGAC